TCCTATGGGTTGTAAGTATATAATTCAAGTTTTTTTTTCCCCATTATACATAGTGCTTTTCAAATTCAAAATAGGCTTGAAATTTTGGAAGTCTGACAGTATTTAAAAGATAATACAGTATATACAGTATGGAACAAAAACTAATAACCATACAGACAGCTATGGAATGGAGAATGCTCAACATTTCATTACGTGACAAGGTGAGCCACATCATCATTAGAAAACAAACAATGGTAGATATCATTGAGAAGATCAAGGAAATGAAGTGGAGATGGACAAAAAGACTCACGGAATGGCAGCCTCGGTCAGAGAAAAGGAGGAGAGGAAGGCAAAATAGAAGATGGAGAGACGAAATAACCACATAAATAAAAATGACAACAAGCAACAGAGCAGCAGCAGACACTGGAAATTGCTTCAGGAAGGCTTCATCCAGCAGTGGATGATCACAGCCTAAACACCACACACTATACAATATTATAAAACAGAGAATATTGTATTGTAATTTTGAACACCCAGTGCTCCTTTTCTTACACCTTGAGAATAACAACATAAGGTAATATATGGGTAGATGGATGAACAATTGAATGAATGAATGGATGGACAGATGAACGAATGAAGAGTAGATACTGTAGATGTTTTATATAGTAATAGGGATAATAATATGAACAACAATGAATTGTTAGAAATATATTTATATGTTTACACTGTATATATATCATTTTCTTTTGTTTTTTATGTAATTCCAAGTGGACATTGGCCCTTGATGGCATTTGAAGCTCAACAAATTGAATTGAACTTGCACTGTTTTAATGTTATACAAGCAGTATGAGAGAGAGCAAACCAAATTTATACATTGTGGCACTGTACAATAAACATTTAAAGATAAAGACAGAAATGTTGCTTACTGAAGCAGATATTGTTACTGAAGATCGAATAATGAATACTATGTGATAAACAAGTGTAAACCAATAAGAACAGGTGGAATAATAGCAGGTGGAACAAAAAAAAGAGGTTACTGGCAATTAGATTTATGCAAATCTTCCTTTGTTTTCCTCAGGTACCAGCAAAGATGTTAATGCAGGTTAGGAAGATATATGAAGCTGAAAACAAGAAATCCAAAGACAGTAAATCAGTGAGTATATTAATTCATATCCAGATTTACCCTTTCCTGTACTGCTATGAGGAAGGGGATAATCCTTCCCATTTTTCACCTGTACTGATGGTAGGATTGCCCTATTGTGGTGGGGACTCAGCGGCCTGACAGTAGAGGTCTGATAATTTCCAGCAAGGTCATCAGGGAGACGGCTAAGCCATCTTTCACTTCATAATATAAAAAAGTGCTTGCTACACTGCCTGGGTTGCCAGCATATAATTTACAATATCAAAGGTCTACAAGATTTTTCATAACAGCGCCCTCATAATGGGCCCTTAGTTGACGCATTCAGTCACACTTTTTACATAAGTATATTTGAGTCTATTACAGAATTTTTTTAATATAGGGCTTGTATTACCCTGTCATTGGAAAGTGACCCAGATAATCTAACATGCTTATGTGTATGTTCTTTTTATCCTAGGTAATGACGTTATTTAAAGGGAGAGGAAAGGGAGACAAAAAATTGAGTCACTACGAAGTAAGTATTTGAGTATTTAATCTGTCGTTTATCTCATCGTCAATCATGTTTTTATGAGACAGTCATACTCATAACTCTAGTTATGTCAAAAATGAAAAATTGTCAATTAATCAATTAATTCATTTATTGAAGATATACCACTTCAATAATTTTGTTCTATTTATTAGGTCTTTTGACTAACATATAATTTACAACAGTGACAATGAATGATTTAACAAACATCATTGGATGGATCTCCCATAAAATTTGTCAGCCATAACCAATTAATTTACAATAAGTAAAAAGTATTATATAATTTTTAATAAAACATTACCAAAAATTTAAAGTACATTATTTACATAAATAATAGATAAAAAAGATGTTTAAATATTAAATATTATTATTATTATTAATTCTCAACCAACAACAGTTCTTTTCAGAACTATCTACGTGGTGTACCGCAAGCATTAATATATATTATTTCTTTGCCATTCAAACCCACAAAAAATAATATTAACATTATTATTATTACTACTATTGCACAATAATTTATTAAAGATATTTTATGTTTTTGTTTTCTTTCTTCAGGAAGATGCAAAGGAAGGAGTTATACGTGTGAGGGCGCCAGAGTTTACCAAAATTTGTACAACTGTGCAGCTGAATGAGAAAACAACTGCTGGAGACATCATTGCAAAGTTTATCCGAGACGCTGAGCCCATTATCACACTTCCAGCACGGCGTCCAAGCCAAACAAAGTGCGAAAGAAAAGTACAAACATTACAAAGGTGAGCATACTGTTTTTGTTGCAAGAAATCAGTGGCATACCTAAGGGGTGCATCCCCCTCCCCAAAAAAAAAATACTCACCCACAGTCACAGGGTCCCAAGTTGGATGAAGTAATTTCCAGGAGATCTGCAGTGGTGGGTTGAAGGGTGGGGGAGGGGTTTCACAGATGGAGGGTGTAGACCACATTCAGTTCCACCATGGTTGGAGCGAAGGTAAGAAAATTTATGATATGGCACCTCTAGATGGCTGGAAGTAGCCCTCTCAGACTTAAATTTGAATATAATTTTCATTTCTCCCCGGCATCCCGCTCCCCTGAATATACCACTGAACTTTTTAATGAGCTTTCTCACATTTAATTTTATTTTGCTGCACAACCAGGTACCCATCGGCTCTGACTTCTGTGAGATTGATAATAAAGCAGTGAAAACATGCAAAATTATAAATTTGCTTGAGATGCGTTAATTTCCGGGAGATTCTTGCTTGCTTGCGGGAGTGCGGAAGGCCGTACCGATTTCCGGGAGACTTCAACAAGTTCCAGGGGACTTGGGACCCCTACCGTCACACCCCAGGTCACACTCAAGTAGTTAAAAATCACCTCAAATCACATTACTTTGCAAGCTAGCACCTAATCTTCTAGCACCTAATTATCGAGCCCCCACTTCACCTTCGTGTGCTCTCCCCCCCCCCTCATTTCAAGACAAGACATGCATACTTTGGTTCTATTGACAGCGTTAATAATACCTTATGTATAATATGTAATTATATATGCCATTGTTGTTACTTTTTGCTTTTGTTTCTCCACAGTCGGCAGTCTTCGATTGACGACTGTGGTGTTGGTAACATTATGTACACAAATAAATTCTACCTTAATGAAGTTGGAGGAAACCTATGTAAGTAAATATAAATGCCATCCAAAATATGTCATTAATTCAATGAAAAACCACCTTTATTAATAACATCTTAATGCATAACATTTTCAACATGGATGTTTTCAACTGTTGTTGCTTTATAAGTGATATTATATCCATTATTTGTAAACATATAACAATAACAATGTACATTTCGCCCTCCAATTCTCGGGTTTGGTCTCCACTTAGAGGGTTAGATTTGTGTTCTTTGATAAATTGGTCTCGAATAAGAGGGGTCTCTTAATTAGAGAGGTCTTGAATTGTAGGGTGCACTGTATAATATGTGCAACATATTGCTACATCATGGATTCTTCAGCAGTAATATACGGTGTAATGTAAATTATTGTTTATATATCATTATGTGTTTTTTTTTTATAGGTGGACGCTGTCTTGATCCTGAAACTGACATGATGACAATAGTGAAAATTAACCCTACAGCTGAATGGGTCATCAAATCTCGGAACACGTAACTCAGCGAATAACTTTGAACTTTGTAACGATTGTGAATGATTGTATAAACTGAACTATAGTTACAGGGAGATATGTACAGAGGTAACATTTCCTGATACACAGACAAAGATGAGATATTCCAGTTTCCAGATTTACAGAGAGTGCTATAACTTGATTTGTTGTTGCTATATCCAACCCATTGTGCCTAAGACATTTTACCTGAGAAATACTACAATTTATGATGAATATTCAATAATTTGTCATCAGCCCTCTATAGTAGTGTATGATGTTAGTCCTCATAGGGTGTGATGTCAGCTTTCTATGGGGTGTAATGCCATCTTTCTACAGGATGTTACTTTCAGCCTCTACAGGTTGTCAACTGTCTATAAATTTTGTGTTATGTTTAAAGGGTAATTGAGATTTGGATTACATGTATTATTCCCAAGTGTACATACACAACAATACACTTCATTCCATGCCATTTGTAAGAAGCAGAAGTAGTATTATTTAAGAAAGAAACAGCAAAAGAATAAAATTTGTCCTTAGAGATAATAATATTATATAGTTTTAAACTGGTTTCCATTGAATTGTAACACTACAACACCGGTAGCTTTTGACTTGGTCAATCAAATCATGGCGCGTTTCTCATTGCATCAGAAGTAGCTTCGCAGTGTAACAATTTTACTGTAGTGAGAGTGTAGCAATTTTATGCAAACCAGGCTTAAATCTATAGCCTGGTCATGATCTAATGTAAGTCTGTAATAATATAACATAAGTCTGTAAGTACAGATACTGAGATGAAGTGGCTGTAATGACAGATACAAGGGAAGAGATGGGTTTTATTTGGCAGTCAATCACGGTTGTGTATTTTAGTCTACATAATAGCATTTCTTTTGTAATTTCACATTGTGGTAGCTTAAATAAAAGGTTGTGATTTGAACTTTTTTGACCAATCCCAGTGTCCTATGGTATAATTTGTAAAAAGAAACATTGTGAATAGGAGTTTAAACTGTATATGAAAATATACTAAAAAATCAACTCAAAACATTGACATTCTACAGAATTTTACTCAAATTAAGTTATATTTATATTTCCTACTGATTTTATTGAATTTTGAATATTGTATACGGAAGTGTTACATTTTATTTTCTGGTATGCATATTTATGTGAATATTTATAAACTTTAAAATATGGTTGTTAATGATAAATCAAAGGTAATGTACCTGTGAATCCATAAAAGAAAATATTGTCACAGTTTCCATATATGAATATTTATGAAACAAAGTGTGAGAATAATTTATAGATGATTAGGGATGCATCAGAGATATGTAAGCACAAATTGTGAGTATGTATCTGTTGTTTCATAAGTATTCATATGGAATGTTATTAAGTAAATATTATTTATATGAAATTTATTTTTTAATTGAATGAATATCCAGTTCAGATGATGTTTCCATTGTTTGAATGTTGGAATACAGAATTTTAATATCCTAGTCTTTCATTATCGTCATCATAATTATCATCATAGTCATCATTATCATCATCGTTAGATGAGACTTCTTTTTATACCTTGTTTCGCAAATTTTTTTTTAAAGGTCGTCAGAGGAGGGCGGAAAAAAAAATAAAAATACAATTTTGTTTTCTTATTTAGCAAGTATTTTTTGCCAAAAACAAAAAACAGAGGAGAAAATAAAAATGAAATTTTATTGGTGCATGTAAGCAGTGCAGTAATGGGATGGTGATATGCTTTAAATTTATATAATTAGAGAGAAATATATATATCCTTTTTTTGCAGATTTAAAGGCAGCGGCAGGCATAATAAAAATAAAGGAAAAAATTAATTTTTTTCTGAAATTTCCATTTTTTCATGGTGCCGGGTGCACAAATTGGTCAAAAATAAACTTTTTTTAAATTCTAAATCATCATTGGCGGACGGCAGGTTCACTAAACGAGGTATAAAAAAGTCTCACCATATCATCATCATATCACCGTCATTGTTATCATCATTATCCTCATCATCATCATCATCACAATCAATAATGCTTTTTATTCTCTAAAGTAGCATGTTCTACCATTCTGTGCCAATTATCTTTCTGATCTGAAAATATAAGAGTGTGTGTTGACTGCAATAGTCTGAAGATCCATTTGATTACCTTATTTATGTTAGTTTTGTCTTTATTTTACAAATTTTGACGGGTGCATCCTTGCACAGATTGATCAGATGTCTATAAATGCTAAACCTCAATTTACAAGAATTTCTCTTGTTTAATTTATACAGGGAATAATTGAAAATCATGTTAGAAAGCCTTCATCTTTGAAGTGGACCATAGGCAATAATTTTAATGCTAATTTCTTGAACAAAACTCCATAATTTTTTACTGTTTCAGTGTATTAATAGATTTACATTTGTTGTAATGTTTCTTTTATTTATTGATTTATTTTTCTATATTCTGAAAGACAATGATTAATGATATTGGTACTCTTATATTTTTTTTAATTTTAAGCTTAAATTATAGGCCTCCACCAGGAGGTTGGGAGTAAGGGCATTGAGCTCTCTATTTTCCATCCTCTGAATTCACCTCTCGTTCAAGTTCTTATATTCTTTCATCAGATATCAGTACATGTAATTAGGTAATTAATCAGTACGCACACATTTCGCAATAGCACTCTAACTGTGCATTAGCCAATCTGTGTAGTGTTATTCTATTAGGAGTCTATTTTTGTAATGGCATATACCGGGTCATGTTTTTCAACCTGTTAGTCTTTCAGTTTATCTTTCAATTTGTAGATTTAATTATTCATCTCAAGGAAAAACTTTTGTTTTTTTGTTTTAATTTCAAAATCTACATGACTTTTATTGCCAATGTTCAGTGTTGTACCTACATTTCAATGTAAACAATTTTCCAATTTAAAATCTTACTGTGTGTTTCACTGTACCGAATGTCTTATTAATGTCTTTCTAAAGTTTAAGGTATATTAATTATAGTTTGAATATTCACTTCATTTACCAGAGCAATAACGACACTGTACTAGAAAGCATCCATGCGGTTTCTGGGAGGCATTGTCAAGTTGTTTATTTTTATGTCTGGATTTATATTCCAAGTGTCCATACTGAATAGCAGCGATAAATGTACGGAATAAAAATTAAGTCATTGATGTGGAGTTATTTTTGCAAATTTATTCAGAACCATTGGTGGCTAGAGAAATTTTCTGAAGAGGGGTCCAAGCTCCCAGACAAGGGGTCCACACCCCTGATCAGGGATAAAATTAAATTTGTTGGTTATGTTCGGAAATTTTTAAAAATTAATAATGAAACGAAAACCATGCAGGGTTAAGAGCCCCTGTGGGGAAGAGGTCACACCACCACTACAACACCTCGCACACACGGTAGGAAAGCTCGCACTGAACAGTTTTTAATCCCTAAAATTTGACAGTTTAGTCAGGCATGCTTGGATTGTACTTTCAGTACTGAAGATATTTTCCCCCAACAAGCTTGCTGGAAGTTCCCCCGACACGGGTTTCCTTTCCACCGGACCCCTGCTATAGCGCCCTTGTTCAAAATTTTACAAACGGGGGGAAGGGAGGAGGGAGGAGGGAGAGACAAGCGAGAGCGCTAATTACAATACAGTACATGCCTTGAAAATTTAGCGGCACATGCCCCTACTGGATCCACCCCCTGTTCCCAACCTTGAATTCGTAGATCCCATTTTAAGTACAATCCATTGTCAATCCTGGAATTGAAATAGTTGTAGGCGAGGTCTGAAATTTGTATGGCCGTAAATAGCAGAATGTAATTGTATTTGGTCCCGATTTTGTATATTTGATTTCCAGGTGAAAGCAATACAAGAGAGCATACAAACAAGGTGTCCATTACCTGAAGATGTTAAGTAATGCAATGTTTCCCGTGCCCGTGCCTGTGTTTATGAGATGGAAATTGAGTAAAGGTTTTGGAAAATAAAAGCATTATACTCGGTACGGTACACAATACTATTTATTAAACTCAAAATTAAATTTGATATACGAAACTACATAAATTTGCATAAAATATCACGTCATAACAGTCTCGAAGGAGTATTATTCCTATTTGTTTAAGTCATTATATCCACTGGACATTCGGCAAAATCTTCCATTCACTTGGTAACTGGACATCTTCCTCTTCGAATATATATTTAAGACTTTTGTTAGGCCTTTGAGTGGGTCTTTTTCGGCAAAAGCACGGCTTGAATGTTCGGCAACACACCTCCTTGTGCGATCGTCACCGATCCTAGCAGACGGTTCAATTCTTCGTCATTACGTATAGCAAGCTGAAGATGACGTGGTATAATCCTAGTCTTCTTGTTGTCACGGGCAGCGTTGCCAGCCAATTCGAGAATCTCCGCCGCCAGGTATTCTAGTACGGCAGCTAAATAAACTGGAGCTCCTGCTCCGACACGTTGTGCGTAGTTTCCTTTCCTTAGAAAGCGATGTACTCTACCTACGGGAAATTGCAGCCCAGCTCTGGTTGAACGGCTTTTTGCTTTGCCTTTAACTTTAGCTCCTTTACCACGTCCAGACATATTGCACGTTAACTGCTCAAGTTTGGAAATATATAAGTCAGCTGTGACCGTTTGAACGTATAAAGTAGATCTGAACAACACAGCGGACAACGCCAGCTTATGTAATACTGCGACCTCATTTAAATAAAGCATCACCTGTCATGGTTTGAAGTGGCGAAATGTATAAGCCGACAACTAATATTTTTCCAAAATAATTGTCATAGTACTGGTCATGCTTTTTATTATAGCAATGTTGGATTGTGCTTTTTTTTTTATTGTTTAGAAATCATTCTTAATTGTTTTTTTTCGTTGAAATGCATATTGGCCGTATTTTTCTATTAGATTTTTAAAGAGAGGTTGACCAATCAGAGAACATGATTTACATACGAAGCTGTAAACTCTATGCAAATTTCCATTGTAAGAAGCGACAGTATAAATACGGTAACCCTCATGTACGTTTATTTCTGACTACGATCTCGTTCTAAACACTTTAGTATTTATACCTTTGTAGCGTGAGAATCTGAAAAATATAAGAACTCAAACGAAATGGCTCCAAAGGCTACAGTCGGAAAAACTGCGAAGAAAGCCGGTTCAAAGAAAGCAGTCTCCAGTGGAAGCAAAACACACAAACGAAGGCGAAAGGAGAGCTACAACATCTACATTTACAAAGTGTTGAAGCAAGTTCACCCAGACACTGGTATCTCAAGCCGAGCCATGGGAATCATGAACAGTTTCGTTAATGATATATTTGAACGAATTGCTGCTGAAGCTTCAAGACTGGCTCAATACAACAAGAAATCGACCATAACAAGCAGAGAGGTGCAGACGGCCGTGCGGCTACTTTTGCCTGGAGAACTTGCGAAACATGCGGTCAGTGAAGGGACGAAGGCAGTCACGAAGTACACTAGCAGCAAGTAACAGTCCAAAGAACTGGTAGACCATATATAACTGGAAGAATCGATATGTATATTTATGAAAATTGGACGGTATGCTGCTGGATAATATATACTTGCTTACAAATTTAACATTTTGGCCGATATTTGGTTGTCCTTGTGCAGCCATAATTCGATGTGTAAATTGAATGTTTTTAGTTGTGGTGTTGAAAATAAATGTCGTTTTTATAACAATTACACAGGACTAGTATTTTATTTCACTTTCCCTACACAAGCAACATATCTCGCATTTATATTACTAAGCATTCCATTTTATTATTTTTTTTATTTTTTATAAAAGGGTGTAGTGTGTGCAATATTTCCACGTGGTAAAATTAAATACAACCATATACTCAATAAAACATTGTCGTACTCGCATTGTTAATCACTGGACTATCAAATAATGATAGTACAGTATCTTAAATGTACACAATATAGCAGCTGTAACAGTAAAAACAAAATGATTAAGCCATTACATTAACACCACGATATCCAGAATACGACAACTTACAGGCCGATCATAGTTCAAATATGCGACGGTGTTCCCACGAAGCAGCATTAGAAGTTAAGATTATTATTTGAGTTTATTTCCATAATCAAGCCCCGGGAACAATTTAGGGGAAGAAGGGTTTATTTAATAGATTTTAAAGTCTAATATGTAAGAATACATACACGACGACGAGGGTCCCCTCCCCCCACCACCACCTCACACTTTACTGGTGCCACCGCTGAACTGTGCAACTTGTGCCACTCCAAAGTTTGAAGTTGTTTTTCTCAGTTGTGCTAATAATGATACTTCAAATGCAATTTGATCAAAATATTAATTACCACATATCATTCAAAAGATAATTAATTATAAAGTAATAATTATATAGGAAAACATGTTTTCGGCCTACTATTTTTATTTTTCATATGTATTTCCATATTAATTTTGTTTTAATGTCTTGTAATTTATAGCTTTTCAATATTTCTCTTTACATTTTCGACAGTATTTTCATGTAGTAATAAGACAAACTTATTATTACTCACCCGCTGCACTGTATAGGATATTTCAGCTCCATTAGCCAGAGCCCTGTTCATCTATGACACTGAATTAATAGTAACATATAGGGTCGGAATGGCTAATAAACAATGCAAGTTGCAATGTCCATGAAAATCCTGAGAAAGCTCAATAAACTCAGCAAGTACATAAAAATACTGTCGAAAATGTAAAGAGAAATATTTTTTCTACACTGTTATAGGCCTAAAGTGATTGAATCTTGAAGTGTTTCTTTCCTGACCGTTCGCTCTCTAGGTAGTCATGGTAGGACTAGGGTAATAGAATTTCAATTTTCTACAATAACCCGGTAAATAAGGATTTGAGGGCTTGTAATCGATTTGTAAATCACATAATTCCAATAAATTATAATTATGATGTTCACATACTAGCGTTAATAATCTGAATACTTTGATTTGGAGTAATATATTACCGTACTGTATTATTATTTCCTTTACTAAATACAGATTATCATGCTAAATATAAACAGAAAACAACATGGGGTTAATATTATTAATATAAAGACACAGATACAGAGACACACTTTACTGTCATTCACATTGTGATTGCGAGGCGTTTTCATGACAGCTACAGTTTGTTGTAAAACAGCTAATAGAAACCACATACACAAAATGTATTCGTATGTACAATAGTGTTTTCAACGTTTTAATTATTTTATAGGTTTTCCCTTTTTTATATTTTCTGACTTTAATTACTATTTGTTTTTTAACAAAAAAAAAAAAATAATAATAATAATAATCTTAACGATTAATATTTAATAGGTTATCAATTGTCTTTATTTATTAAAATGTATATACCCAATCTGATTTTCATATAATATTGCTTGTTTCGCTTTTATACAGTTTTGCAGTTTGAATGTATGATTGAAATTCCTAATGTCCGACAGGTGATGAACGAGTTTCCGAACCTCTTGGCTCTGATTCTGGGGTATACTGTTCTTCCAGTGGCGTATCTAGGGGGTGCGCACCCCCCCCCCCCACCACCACCCCAGTCGCTCCTCTAGAAATCAAGTATTTAAAAATCACCTAAAATCACCTTATTTTGAGAATTCAAAACTCTCAGCGTCGAGGCCCCCCACTTAACCTTCGCGTCGCCCCCCCCACCCCATTAGCACCCCCATTTCAAGATTTCTAGATATGCCACTGTGCTCTTCCTGACTTGCTAAAAGAAATGTGCTTTGCCATGGCCTATACATCGGATGGGATGTATCATTAGTATGAAATTGAACCATTCATTACGTCGTATACCTAATTCTTCCAGTTATTCATTGACCTTACACCCAATGATTTTACTCGATTTCTTCGTTATTCTTTCATATTTTTTTCATATTTTCTTTCAATATTTCGTTACACCATATGATTATTCAAAAACATAAAACAGGCTGTACAACTGAAACATAATACATATTCATAATGTTAGGATTTACTTTATTTTATCCTGCGTAAAAAGTACAGCCTTTGGTTAAATTATTTTGCTAATTTTATCGGTATTATATACTCAGTTTCATTTATTATCAATATGATTACCTAGATATTTGTGTTCAGTTATAGATTCAACGGATTGTTTCTAACTGCTCGTGTATAACATCAGATTTCCTAAAATCAATAATTATTTCTTTGTTTTATCAGCATTATCAAGAAGTTGTTTTCACACATGCAAACGATTCTACGAACAGTTGATTAACATCATCCGAAAGCATCGTCTGCGTATTTAATATGAAAACATTTGAATTAACAAATGATCATTAGATAGAATGAAAAGTAAAACTAACAAAGGTGAAAGTGCGGCGTGTAAGGGATTCAGAAATCATATCATTTAGTTTCACTCTCTGTGCCCTGTTTGTTAAAAAGTCCGACACTCGCAAGCTTGGGGTTCATTTTCATGGCTTTAAATTTATCTGTTAATATATGCAGGGATGGTGTTAAAATGCCGATGAAAATCTAGAAATAAAATTCTAGCATGTGATGGCTTCGTTTCCATGTTCATACACACCATGTGTGAGTGTCATCATAACATCGTCAACACTTTTTTTTTTTCTTGTAAGCGAATTGACAGATATCCTCTAACAGTTTTTTTTTTCTTGTAAGCGAATTGACAGATATCCTCTAACAGTTTCCAATTTTACTAATTTTGGTTTAATCATTTTTTTGAAACATTACCATTGGAATTGCGGTGAGGGAGATACTAGGCCGAAAATCATTTAGAACCAGTGGCGGACCCGGTACCCCCCCCCCCCCCCCGCCCTAATTTTTTTCAAAATTGTAAAAAAATTGAGAAAAAAAGAAAATTACATTCAAATTTTAAGTCCGAGAGTGCCATTTCTGGCCATCTAGAGGTGATATGATAGTAAATTTTCTTACCTCAACCATGGTGGGGTGAGGTGGTATAGACCCTCCATCTGTCAAAGTCTGTCCCTGGGCCCCCTCTATTTTAAATTACTGGCACTGAGAAAATAGGTTTATCTACTTGGAAACCGGTGAGGCAAAATAAATGATTGGTGGAGCCGATGCGACAGTGTTATGCGATCGCCCTGCTCTTCGATATAGATTTGAAAATGTTCTTTGTTGTATTTTTGTGTATTTTCTGCTTTTTAGGCATGAACAAACACATTGCTAAAAAAAAATCATAAAAATATCGTTTCAAAGTATTACTAGTAATGCCACCAGGGCCTGCGGCCCTTTTCGGCTTCACGCATCTAATACACTTTAAACTTCATCATTGCTTACTCTATCGTCTTTGGAATTGTCATTGCTCTTTTAACTCAGGTTATCCCTCACACAGGAAAAGTACGTCAATTGAGTCGAATCCAATAAAGAAAAAAATATTAATTTCATTTGCAAAAAATTTAGATTCGTTTTTTTTTACCCTGGCCTGTAACTTTGTCATTGCTATCCAAGCTTGCTTCACATTTCCGCTCTTGAATCGATGTATACGGTACGTGTTGCATGCGCTCTCTTGTTTTTTTTTTTTTTTCTGTACGATACCATCATTGTCGATATAGCTGAAAACTTTTTCTAATCAGACAGCGCACTCTCGTCGGCAGGGTGAGCGATTGTATGGAAACCGAGCTTCTGGATCACCGTGTAGCAAACTTTATGGAATCTATTCAGGGGCGGATCCAGAGATGTCCAAAAGGGGGTCCGAAATTTGTGCCGATCGAGACAACAGTGTCCTATGGGGTCCGGGGGCATGCCCCCGCGAAATTGTTGTGTTCTAGACGCCCGAAAATAACATTTAAGGCGTTCTGGGCTATCATTTTTTCTTTTTCTTTCTTTTTTTCTTTCTTTTTTCTTTTTTTTATCTCCCAAAAGGGGGGCCGGGGCCGGGCCGGCCCCCCCTTAAATCCGCCCCGGCTCAAAATCTCTCGGGAAGTCTTACAGGGGGATTAGCCCACAATTTAGGGATTTCAAAGGCTTAAAGAGTTTCTAAGATATATGCTTCTAGGTTTGTTGAAATGAATAAAGAAATATTTATAGAATCGAGTCTGGGTGTTTTTATTTTTTTACTTTCAGAAACAATATGTAAAAAATACATATGTAATGAAAAAAAAATTTCGGGGATTCGCCCCCTGGACCACTTTCGAGACCTTTTAATCGAAGCTCGACCAGGCCCATTTTGCTTTCCTCGGGGAAATCTGACCCCTCGTCGGGGCATAGCCCCCCCCCCACACCGTCGGGAAAATCCTGGCGCCACCCCTGCTGCCTTCTCAGTCAGTTGCGTGTTGGTGGTTGTACTCATAAATAACATTCAGTGATATGCATAATCAAAAGGTTTTGAATCGAGGGATGCTTGTTACGAAATCCTTATAATAGGTGAGTTTATTATTGTTTTATTATTTATAAATGGCCGTTATTTTCAAACATTATGAAAGGTCACTTGGTAACGTAAGGTTGAATAATCACGAAACTCGTTCAGCAAGCGGAGCTGCAAACCTATATGCAGATTAAAAATTGTAGACTCTGAACCGATAGTATAAATACAGTAACCGTTCACTTCAGTTCACTTCGAACAACGAATCTGTTCAGAACGCTTCCAAGCAATTCTTTTGTGACTGTAATAGGCCTATCTGAATAATCTTCAGGGACAGCATAATGGCTCCAAAATCATCAGTTGGGAAAGCATCAAAGAAGGCCATTACGAAGAAAGCCGTCTCAAGTGGAAGCAAATCACACAGACGAAGGCGAAAGGAGAGCTACAACATCTACATCTACAAGGTGTTGAAGCAAGTTCACCCAGACACTGGTATCTCAAGCCGAGCCATGGGAATCATGAACAGTTTTGTTAATGACATCTTTGAGCGGATTGCAGCTGAAGCTTCAAGACTGACCCAGTACAACAAAAAATCAACCATAACAAGCAGGGAGGTACAGACGGCCGTGCGGCTAATTTTGCCTGGAGAACTTGCGAAACATGCGGTCAGTGAAGGGACGAAGGCAGTCACGAAGTACACTAGCAGCAAGTAACCCACGATGAACTGTAACAAAGAACTGAAAAACTCGTGCTATATTTAATAGTATGCTGCTGGACATTTACGATTACGAATTTAACAATTTATACTGCCTGTAAATTTTAATTTAGTGTACAGCACATTTCAATGTAATCTTTTATATTTGTTTAATAAATGTCATTTTACAACATTTTCATTGACTGGGATTTCTTTTTTTTTTAATTACAATTATTGCCACAGCCTGCACAATACAAACTTAAATTTTCATACAGTGCATTTGCTGGAACATCATTACTAATCAAGTCAATATTTAGAAATAAGCGCATATCTACAGCGCGCATTTCACAACCTAAACTGGGTTGTAAAATTTTTAATTTCAATAACTTCATGAGCCATAATATAAATTACGAATACAACCAATTGATTATATAGCGTTCAATCCTATAATTGGCGAGTACAATTATCCAACTCAACATTTCTAGATATGAACTACTTTCAACATTGTACTACATGCGCATACTCAACTGTCAACTGTTCGAATACTTCAGCCAAGGTCAATTTCTTTATTATAACATAATGCAATTATTCAATGTCACCCGGGACCATAGAGGAAGAGAATTCGATCCAAGCCGAACTCACCTTGTTTACGAGTAAAGGAATGCCAGACATACACTATCCAACATTTCCAGGGAGCGTTTACAAGCGGGAAACTTAACTTTTGCTAAGAAACTGTATTTAGTCATAATTGCGCGATAACTGACTATTTCATTACACACGGAAATAATACAGACTAGCCTACGTAGGAGTACCAAATAGGGCCTACGGTATTTGTAATTAAAAAAAATGTAAACAGACACTATGTTGCACCACTTTACACAATCTGTATTAAAAAAATCCATTTAAAGTTGTTCAATTTAGATGTTGGGGAATCTTACGATCTCCCTGGTTACGGGCCCGGAAATTAAATGCTCGTTTCTTTGATTTTTAGAATTATATTAATTGAAAGTCATTATACTTTGTTATCCCCTGGCTGTTATTTTAAAGCATTGAAATCTTGAATGTCGTGTTTTGCATGCGGCCCGCTGCAACACTTATATGCAAATTAGTATTAAAAAAATACAATGGAAATTAGGCGTATAAATGATGTAGTTGTTGACGTACGTACATATCTATCAACGCGATTGTTTCAAGCGCTTCTACAGTAGCTCGGCATTTCGAAGCGAGGGAAAATCAAAATGGCCCCAAAAGCTACAGTTGGAAAAGCTGCAAAGAAAGCAACCGGTCCGAAGAAAGCCGTTTCTTCAAGTGGAAGCAAAAAACATAAGCGAAAAACTCGAAAGGAGAGCTACAACATCTACATTTACAAAGTATTGAAGCAAGTTCACCCAGACACTGGTATCTCAAGCCGAGCCATGGGAATCATGAATAGTTTCGTTAATGACATATTTGAACGAATTGCTGCTGAAGCTTCAAGACTGGCTCAATACAACAAGAAATCCACCATATCAAGCAGAGAGGTGCAGACGGCCGTGCGGCTACTTTTGCCTGGAGAACTTGCAAAACATGCGGTCAGTGAAGGGACGAAGGCAGTCACGAAGTACACTAGTACCCAGTAACTAACTAACACGGGTCAGTGAAGGGACGGAAGCAGTCACGAAGTACACTAGTAGTACCCCAGTAACTGACTAACGAGTCCAAAAACTAAGATAACTGTTATGCTGCTAGTCTACATGCTTACCGTACAGAACTCAGCAATTGCTAGACTAAAATATATACCGACTGCAAATCTTTATTAGCAAGATAGTTTATCGTTGTACATCACTAACCGATGTGTAAATTATATTTTTTTTTGTTTAAATAAAATTTTGTTTTATAAGAATTGCAATGACTAAACTTGGTATTGTACAATTGACATTTTTTTTTATTCCATTAACGCACTAAAAACGCATTTCAAAGAACCAAACTCTCGAGGCACATGAATTCATGATTAGTGGTTTCCGACTCCCACCATTCTCATACCACTAGTTGCGATTTAACGACAAATTGAACATTACGACATATATTGCACTTATATTATTGTATGCTTGTAATATTGGAAGTACTGTACATTGCTGTAGTAGGCCTATTGAAAAGATTAATCTACAGAAAAGTGTTATAATTTTGGTGAATATTTAAAAATGACACATTTTAATTTTTTTCACATATTGCACAAATCACAATTATTAGTCAAAATATAAGTTAACCAAGATTTTCCTTTATTCAAGCATAACTTAAAAATTAAATAATTTTTAAATACTGTTGCATGACACAGTAACCAATTAAAAAATTGTAACAGGTTGAGGGAGAAGTCATGCATGGATAAGCAGGCAGTTGCTACAGACTCCTTTTATTTTTCTATTCCTCCTCTTCAATAAAAATGTTAATAATTTGTTATAAAATTTCTTAATTTCTAAACCATATCAAAATATTCAGTTTACATTGACTCAATTTTCAGATGAAATATTTTATATTAAGCATGACTATCAATGGTTCTTTTTATGTTCGCGTATTGCAGCTTTCCGAAAAGTTGATCGCTTTCCCACAATTTGCCATTTGACGTAATTAACTCCTCAACTAGTGAGTGAAGGTAATAAATCACGCCTCTTTGGATGCATGAAAAGGATTACTTGTACAGTGACCTTCTCTCTATTAACTTCAATGATAAAAATCCTAATGAATTTGTAGTTAATATTAGTTTTGTCAAATTAAATACTTAATTTGCATGTGGTGCCTGCACATTTAACATGAAGTTGTCAGCTGTCGTAGTCCAAGCTGAATTCATACAATGATTTGTATACCCCTGATGTGACATAGAGGGTGCCCCAATAAGAGGCATGGGTCCAACTGGTAGAGATTCACTTGTGATTCCATCGTCAGTATGCACCATTATTGTAGGGTCCCTTGGCAGAATTGGAACCCCATTTCCAGGCACTATAGTAGCCAATTGAGTACCAGTAACAGTTGGAAGTCTAATACTCTGATAGAGGGCAGTATTTCTATATAAAATATTATGATTCAGAGATTGTGAATTGCTCTGAGGCCTAACCAAGCCTCCATTATCCCCTACATCTGCCTCATATTTATCAAGTCTTTGTCGTTTTGTTTTTTCTGTTTTTTGGATTGATTGAGGACCCGATAATGAAACGTCATTGGTACGTTCACAGTCCACAGAATCCTCTCTCTCAAGTTTAGGAGCAGAACACACAGCACGGCTTCTACACTTCTGCATAACCTTCTTAACTGTGTCCCAGTCTGGGATTGCAGTCTGCAATTCTGATAGTTCATCGGGACTGCAATTAGCTAACATATCTCTATGTATTTCATCATAGACATCTTTCAACTGGCGTTTGAAATTTTTTGGTTCACGGGATTCATTCCGACAGCGATGCATGAACTCGTGATTTTTCACATTCGGTGGTGGGTGGTTGTGATTTTTATTTACTAACACAGCATATCTAAGATCGCGTAGAATTTTAGCACGAGATGGACATTCCCCTTTCCTTTGGCGGCTGCAGCGTAGATATACGGTATCCTTTCTATCACTTTGACGATCACAAACATAGAAGTATTCACCAATTAGATATCCGGTACCACGCAGTAAAGGCATCTCACGATACTCCAGCCTTTCTTCTTCATTGCTACTGTCAAACCTGAAGTGAAATTTCAGAAAATGTGGGATAAATATTCCAAGATTACATTCAAAAACACTTCTTACAGTATACTGAAAATGCAAGTTGTGGCATATAGAAATAACTGCATGGAAAATGCTATAGAATAAGAATCTATTCATTGTATAGCTATAATATAATACAATAATATTTAAATTTAAAATGTGTACATACTATCATATTTGTTCGATTTGCCCATTTAAGGGTATTTTATTATAAGAAGTGATAGTTTGAATCATAGTCATTGTATAATTATTGTATGATAAAAATAATAATTAATTTTAAAATGTGTTTTGCAGACTTTTAAGGTCTGTACATACTATCATATTTGTTCGATTTGCACCTTTTAAGGGTATTTTTATCATAAGAATTGATAGTGTGAATAATAGTCATTGTATAATTATTGTATGTTAAAATACTGTAATAATTTTAAAAAGTGTTTAGCAGACTTTTAGACTTTAAGGTGTGTCTACGCTATCAAGTTTTTTTATTTGCCCTTTGAAACATAAAAAAAATTATAGTGTGGACAGAGCCTTAGATACAACTGAAATTCATCCATAGTATACTTACAATTTCTTCAATTTGATGTACACAATGACACTTGAAATGATAGCCATTAATAAATGTCCAATTGTGTCATCAAGGTTGTCAGTAACAGCATTGAAAGGGAGTGGCTTAAGCACACCTATCTGAAGACGACCTGATAAGAAATGACATGGAAACACAAAATAAATTGTCTTTACTATTGCGTTGCCATCCCCACCAAGTAGTTTGTGGCTGTTTGTGAAGACAGGCACATACATCTTTATTTGTACCTTTTTGTGACAATTTATTACTGCATATGCGGATAGCATGCAAAGAATTATTAAAGGAAAACTGCTTGTTGTAAAATCTGACATCTAGAATATTGAAATTTAGACTTAATTAAATATTTAAAAAAAGTTACAATGAAATCATTTAACATCAATTTGAATTTTAATCACACTGAACTTATAAACTTGCAATGAGACTAGAGGATTGAAACAATCCTTATATCAGATACACAGATACTTTATTGTCTATACAATCGTACAGAAATTTGTCATTACAAATAATCGTTAGGTTCCAGCTAATTTGTGTAAAAAATTCGTAAATAATATAGATAAGGCATAATTTGCTGTTAGTCACTTAAACACATAATGTAAGCAATTTTAAATATTGAATGTTATTGTTAAAATTTATTAGCTACTACAGTTATCTTAAGACTGTATAGACTGCTTAGCAACTTGCCCCACAGACTTCATGTGATTGGTCATTTTGGCAAAAATATCACTTACCTTCTATGTTGTACTTATCCAGGTTTCTGAAGCCCACCTTATGGAGGATAGTGCGTGTCAGGTCCTTCAAAGGCAGCTTGTAAGGCAGATAAAGGTAATGCTGCTTACGTTCAGGATCAAATGCTGAAACATGCTCAATCACTACTTGCAACGCTAGCATGTGCTCATCTTAGAAATGAAAAAAAAAAAGAAAAAGTTATGGAATTTAGAAAATTAAAACTTTGAAGTCACTCACGCCATCATCAATGTTTCTTTCATTCATTCTATTATACTAAAAAAAAAAAACACCCGGGGCTCGAAATCCTCTGATAATGATGCATTGAAACAAGTGATTTGACTCTTAAAGGATTATGATATTATTATGGCATTATTATATTTTATATATATTTCTAAACATGATCCATAATTAGCAATATGTTGACTGAATATTAGTGTCAATCCTGTTTGCTGGTTCTCCTTTACTAGCATTCAGATTTAAAACTAAAAACTCTTGAAAGTTTAAATATAAAACCTATTCTTAACCTTCATTTTGCAGAGCTAACGGTGTCCAATCTTTGTTTGGAATACAACTTGTCTCTGCCTCATTTACATTTGCTTCTTTTTCTTCATTGTCATTACAATTATCATTACAGTCATTTCTTTTCTTTTCATCTTTTTCTGCATCTTCAATGCAACTTTTTTTCTTTCTGGCACTGCCTGATGAAAAGTGTTTCAGTGTGGCCTTAGCTGGTGAGGAACTAAGGGATGAATTCTTTTCTGAAGGCTCTGTTTCTGCCATCTGACTGGGTGAGTTACAACCCACTTAGGCCAACACTCTAAAATAGGTCAACATGCGATCTGAGAAGAATAAAGGGCAATCATTCCTGTATACCTGGTAGAAATTTTCAATTTTGGTTTTAATACTTGTATTTAATGTCACATTAAAATAAAAAGAATATAAATCATCTGCACAAAAATTAGGCGTAGAAATTCGTTCATGCATTTCGGAAAATAACAGCCAATGTCTGCTCAGATTTTGCTGAAAAAATAGGCCTTGACCGATCTCAAAATATAAACCAATATACGTATGCAGTGGTTACGATCCTGCGCACCTACTTTCCTAGCAATTTTCCGTACAAATTTTAGCTAGTTTTTTATTGTATCATCCGCAAAATAAAAGACTTTTATGGTATGCTCCCAGACCGATTATTATACATCCGGATGCAAATTTAATAATTATAAGTATGCAGAGGGCTAGGACTACTACGAACTACTAGCACACTTGGCTTGGCATATGTATGGCGTATTATATTTATTGTTGGAAATACTGCATAGGCCTAGGAAGGATGACCTAGGCCTAAACTACTACTACTTCAAGAGGGGCCTGCTAGATAGAGACCCTGGCCTAGCCTACCGACACACAGAGTAGGCCTACAAGAATACAAACAAAGCCTCTGCTGCTGGCCTAAGCCTAGTCTACAATCTAGCGCGTATTTGTATGCAAAATTGAAGTGCTGTCCATATAAAATTCTTAGAAGTCACACGTTATTAATTAATCTTACGTAAATTTCAGTTATAAATTACGATCGTTTAACCACCAACTATGACCTAGCCAACAAGGGCCAAGGCTCATAAAGACAACAATATAAATAAATAAATGTTTGTTGATACAGTATTTTTATTTTTATGTGTTTTTTTAATTGAGGGCAGTATAACAATTGATTTTTATGGTGCGTCAAATGTGTATTTGCTACGTGAATAATATAACCTGACAAATACATTTATACAGTGTACACTATAAGTGTATAATTACAAGTTATGTTAAAATAAAATGTAATTATGTAGGGATTATTTACTACATTATTAAATGAAACGGATTTTACTGTAACACCTCATATTTTTTTTATTGCAAACAAATATCCTTTGTGCGCGCCATAATAAAACGTAACCAAGATACACTATACACACACACTTTTGCTAGCAAAGTAATTCTCAGCACCAATCCAAAATAGCAAATTAATTGTCGTCTGCCTTAGTCTAGTGTGAAAATGCCAGGTAGGCTAAATAATGCATGTTACATGCTATCCACTTGTGTAAAATTAAACTTAATATTTTTACCAAGTGATTCCGCTGGACTAGCCTACCCTAGGCAAGGCTGGCCTGGGCGTAGCCTAGTTAGGCCTAGCTACTGCTGGCCTTCGTTTGCGTAGAAGCTGGCATGGGTATGTGGTACACTCATTCATAGCATAGCTAGTGTTGGCCCTGGCTAGGCCTGCTTCATCCATACTATATTCGATCAGATTGTATAAGGAAAGTTTATGATTACATACAGTATTTTAATTGGCCTATTGATTTAGTCTGAAATTTAGTACTGTACTGCAATTTGAATTTTAACTTGAATCTTTATCTTTTTAGTAATTTTAAATTGTTACTGAAATATTTATTCAACATTTTAATATTTTATAAATTATTTTGATGTAGGCTACTGTAAATGAGATATTATGAGAATGTCTCAGTTATTATTGTATCTTGTTATTGTCTGGAGTTGTTTTCGTTGTTAGTATTTCACTTGTCATGTTAATGTATATTTATCTATGGAACAAATATTTTTCTTTTGTAAAATTTTAATGACCCGAAATGTACTTACTGCTATTTCTATATTGAACAAATAAAATTGAATCTGAATCGCATCAAGTCTAGCTGTTGACCATGTGCTACCAGTGTGGTAGGCTCTGATAGGAATATTTAAAAACATATTTCTTTGATAAACTTTATTTCAATAAAATATATAAACATTACAATGAAATAATTATGATGTGTAGACTATAGAAAAAGGGCTTCACTGGAAGCATTAGCTTTGAAACGTGGTGCCTTACAAAAGAAAAATTAAATTACATTTAAG